AAGTAACAATAGGATCATACTACAAGATCTTCGAACAAGGAAGGGGATACTGGAAGTAGTTGGCCCGAGATACTACCTTCCATACTTGGACATATAGGACTTCCCATAAGATAGCAACTGGCGAGATTCCTTTTTTGTTGGCTTTCGGCATCGATCTTGAAGGGCAAATGACCGAACACCTTGAACTACTTGAAGAAGTGCAAGAATAGGCGTTGCCAAGATCTGTAAGTTATCAAAACAAAACAACACGATGCTTCAAAAACAAGGTAAAATCTAGAAGATTCAGAGTTGGAGATTTAATCCTTGAAAGGGCAGAAGTAGTTCGCCATCCTCTAGGAAAGCTTGGATCGGTCTAGGAAGGACCTTTTGAAATCATACGGAAAGTAAAAGGCAGAGCATACAACCTAAAGGAAATCTCGGGAAAACCACACCCAAGGCTTTAGAATTCTGATGACCTAAAGATTTATTACAAGTTGTTGCCCATACCCCTAGGTATTTAGATTACTTAGTTTTCGTTTACTTTGCGTTAGTTTAGGTTTATATGCCCTCAGTAGTTTATTCTTTCTTAGTTTAGCTCGGACTTGTATGCCCCCAGATTGTTTTCTTTTTTAAGCCTACGTGCTCATGTACATTTATATTATTCTATAAGAGTTTATTTTGACAATAAAAACTTATCCAAACACCTCTTATTAGCGTAAGGTCGTGCCCCGTGCATGTAACTAATACATTTATTTAGCGTAAGGCCATGCATCGTGCATGCCTCTAATATATCTACATCGTAAGGATGTGCACAAGCACGCAGCTATTCTTAACTTCTATAATCCGGCCTGAATATCTCACAATGCTAAAGTATACTAAGTTCGAGCTCTGACCGTTCTCCACCATCCACAAATAGCCCCGAGCTTCACCTATCAAAGCCTAAAAATATTACAATTTTCACAAAAGCTCGAACTATTTTCTCCAAAATAATAGTCAAGTAGCGCATTCGAGGTCAACTTATTAAAGCTTAGAAACATTATAGTTCTCACAAAACCTCGGCCCACGACCAAGTACCCCACCCGAGCTTTATTAGAGCTTAAAAATATCACAGCATTTAAAAAAAAGATCGAGCTACTTGTCAAAAAATAATTGTAACATACCACATTCGAAATCTACCCGTTAATGCTTAAAAATATTACAGCCTTTGATTTAAAGCTATAGTTATTTGTGAAAAATAATGGCGAAGTACTATGCTCGAGCTCTATATTAAGTATTGCATGTTATGCGAAGACTCTAGTTGTTTGTCAAAAATAACTACAAAGTAGCATGCCCAAGGTTTAACCGTTGAAGCCCAAGATTATTGAGCCTTGAACATCAAAACTTGAACCAACTTGTTAAGATTAACAACTGGAGCTCGATTTGTATTAAATGAACGAGCATAATGAGTAACAAAATGCATTACAAAGACAAAACAACGAACTATAACATTGAAATCAAAAAATAAACCCAGGTCGGGCAATGTACTTGTTACATTTTCAAAAAAAAAAAAAATTTACTAAAAA